GAGGCCTGGGCTGGGTGCTGCATAGGGTGACTGATGGGGGGAGGGGGGGGAGGAGGAGGTCCAAAGTTATGCTGCGGCGGCGCCATCATGTGGTGAGCGTGAGAAACCACGGGGGGCTGGGCGGCGTAGTCCCCAGGGTGGTGGTGGGGGGGCTGGCCGGGGCCGGGCCCCGCAGACAGCGGCTCCCGAGACGCGGAGTCGTCGTGGATCGGCACGGTGATGAGATTGCTGTGTTTACGAGTGGTTACCGTGGAGATGCGGTAGGTCTCAGGCCCCATGGGCGACGGAGGGGGCGGGCCTTCGTGGGGGTTGGGCGGCGGCGGCTGGCTGTACGGGTCGTGGCCGCCGTGCTGGAGCGGCCCGGGGAGGTGAACGTGGCTTTTGGGTATGTGAGGCGGAGGGACGCGGAACCTTTCCGGCACTTCGGGCGCCGGGGCCAAATGAACGGGCTCCTGGCGGGACGCCGTCTTAGGCGTCCTCAGGTGGCGGTGGTTGACGTGGGCCTGGAGGTCCCGCCCAGACAGGTAGGTGCGCTTACAGCCCGGCACCACGCTGCACATGAACAGGTAGCCTCGCTGGCACTGCTCGATGCGCTGGACCGGCTCCGTGCATTTAAACAGGTTCATCCTGGAAACAGAGAGAGGATTTAAGCTCCGCCTCCCAGCAATGAGGGCGGAGTCTAGACGGCAAACTCACCCTGGGCACATCTTCTCTCCTTTCTTCTCATGCAGCAGAGCGCAGTCGTAGCAGAAGACGTGTTTGCAGGGAATCTGAGAGGATTCAGAGACGGAGTCAGGAGATCAGAAAAACCAACCGATGGACGACCAGGAGAGACACTCACCATCATCATCATCACCACCATCATCATCATCATCACCATCATCATCAATATCCTCACCATCATCATCATCATCATCATCACCATCATCACCATCATCACCATCCTCACCATCACCACCATCCTCACCATCATCACCATCATCTTCACCTTCATCATCACCATCCTCACCATCATCACCTTCATCATCACCATCCTCATCATCATCACCATCCTCATCATCATCACCATCCTCATCATCATCACCATCCTCACCATCATCTTCACCTTCATCATCACCATCCTCATCATCATCATCCTCATCA